GCCTCATAAATAAATATTCTTCACTTTAGTATTGTGTAATGATTTCAAGGCCGGAAATAGAAATTATTTCGCCCGAAGAAACATTGTCATCTCCCTTTTAATCTCAACTCCTAACACTGCTAAATGTCAATGCTGAATATTAAAGATTATTAGATCTACAAATCTTAATTATTTTACAAAATGATTAAATAAAATTTGAAATAATTGAATAAAAGAGCTCCACTGAAATGTTTTCTCTTGTACTCTTTATTACAACAATAATTGAATAGTATCTTCTTATTCCTCGACTTTATCCCAACTGTTTGGGGTCTTATCCTAAACTTCCACTCGACACGATACAATAATTAAAAAGTATATTATGCTTTATTTTTCAAAATAATCAGGCATTTTGTATTGTCTATTCATTTACTTATGAATTAATCACGATTTTAAATTTTTAATTTTTTACAACATTCTACGAAATAAAACTCTTATGCTCTTTCAACAAACGACTTTTGTAAACGCGAAAGGCTATTATAATACTACATTTGTTGTTCACTCAATTTAAAAGGTATAAAACTATAAAAAAAAAACAATTTTTTTTGTCCAGCCAATATGGTTGTATCCTGTCGCTTATATGTCTATAATTGAAACCCTTCAGAAGCTTGGTCGACATGGGTGGCCGACAGAGACAGATCGATACGGGCGCGTTAAGCGTATACCTACTATACTACTGCCGTTGCTGTTGCTTGCCCACCGCTGTGCACCTCTGTCGTATGCCACACATATTATACCTCTACACTGCGCCAACAAACCCCCAAAGTAGACCGCGCTCCTCTTTGTCAGTGACGAAGGTCGACGAACCAGACGTCCCGTATCGATCTCTACCTCTCTGACTGCCTTACGCCCTCTCCTTGTGGCCACTGCCGACGACTTGACCTGCCCAACACGCACACACGCTTTTGCACATGACAAACCCCCGATCACTTCACCACCACCACACGCCACCCCGTTAAAAATCGACTGTTTCGCTACACTTCGTTTCAGTACACAATATCACCACCCCGTTATTCGCCTGTCCTTCCACCCTCTGTTTGCAAAGTTTGACGATTGGGCGGACTTGTATTTTTGCGAATGCAACCCGACAACGACAGGGTGCGTAATATCTGAAGGGTGAACCTGGATTTCGGGTGTATAATGCGATGTTGAGGGGCGGACGAGGGTAACGGTCTAGACAGTGTCGTTGAACTCTTATTTATCGGTATACAACCCCAACACCACCTTCACCATTTTCATCAACTGCCTTTTCTTAAATGATGTCTACCTTGAAATTCTAAAATAAACAAATACGCATTCCTATTTACTATTGTACCTAATTATCGATCGAGGTAAACTATTGTCTGTATTGCATTATTTGACATAAGAGCCAAGGAATTTATGTTTTTAAAGCAATGTGTACATTTGTCAACAGTCCTACCTCAACGTTGGATTATTTGGATTAAGTGTTTATAATTAACGAAAGTCCAGAACGATTCAAAGAATGTTTGTATTTTTTATTGTTCTGAAGTGTTGTAGCATACAAATATTCTTTTTTTATTTACAACAGCTACTCGAGCGAAATTTATACCAAATTAAACACAATTTTCAGCTGATTGTAAACTGAGCATTAAATGTTATGATTGATTCTTAGAAAATTGACTATTACAAATATATTCTAAGACGTTTTTCACGTTTTATATATTCACATTAGGCTAATGTTCACATTTTTACATTAATTTTCATTATAATTTTACTAAATATCAATTATAATAATATCATTTCAAGGTATTTTACTTTATCATTTGTTAAATTAAAAGACGATTCAAGACATAAAATTATTAAATCGATTTATTTTTTTTCAATACACTCAAACTTGTCTGCTAAAACTATGTCGTGGTAATTTTTTTAATCGTAACATTGTAAATTTTTCATTACAGCCAAAGTAATAAATATAGATTTCATAATTTATTATTAAATAATTATGAAAACTGCCAACAATATTATTTATTTATAAATTGTTTGGCGGGTATAAAAATTCTAAATTCCACAAATAAAATTTCAATTAATGTATTTAGACGATAAAAGTTTATTTTGCAAACTAATGTATTTAGGCAACTTGTAAGCGAGTAAGAACCGAAAGTTAAAACCTTTACCTAACGTTTAAAATATTGTCGTAGGTCAAGTCATTGCACCTATTCACTAGCATAAGATAAAAATCTATTTCATAAATAGTGAAAAATAATTGTTTCCTATATGAAGTATAAAAATGTTTACAAAATAATACAATAAAATGATGCAACAGAAACATATCCATAACTATGTCCCATTATTTAATTTTCATTAACTGACACAAGTGAAATAAATTAATACCTAATGTTGTAAATTTAAGCTATTGGTTCAATGAATACTCGCTTTAACTAAAATTATACTTTATAACATTTAATTTTTAATATGTAAAATATTATGTAATATATGTTTTTGATCAATTTTAAATATCTTTTTATAATAAAATTATAAAAATAGCAATATAAAATGCACAATCATTATTTTTTAGATTTTTATATTTAATGCGAATTTATTCAATTTTTGAAAAGATTACTCTAAAAATTATAGAAATTAATCAGTAGTTATTTTGGGAGACATGGAATGATGAGGAGTTAAGAAAAAACTAATACTGTCGTTCATTCATATAGACACCTAAATTTATTTCTTTACTAACCAAGTGATTTTTAGAAAATATACAAAATATTTTTTCTAATATATTTTTTGTGATTATATACATTGATTGTATTAATAAATCATACATAAAAATTACTTTGTAATTATATTACTTTTACTTGGTATATCATAAACTTTCAAACAAGTATTTGTAGATACACTATGCTTAAAAAATATTTTCACATAACAATTACAGTAGATAAATATCGAGTATATTTCGGTCAATTAATATTATATCCAGTCTCAATACTGAAAAAATAATTTAGTTTGGTACTATTACCAATAGTAAATTAAGAATTATAAGCCTACTATTTTATATTATGTATGTAGCACTTAATTTTTGTCATGCGCAGATATTTTTATCCTTAGAATCTGGAATACTTGCTCTATACATTTCATGAATGTAAATTTATCAAAAAAGAGATATAATTTTAGTTTTAAAATGTAAAAAATTATTTAAAATTAGTCACTGACAAAACTTTAAACCAGAGGCGGACTTTGCCCAAAAGACACAAAAATAGTGACGGTCCTATTCCTATTCACTCAAAAAAAACTTTTGCAATGCTCAAAAAAAAAAAATAATAATAATAATAATATTCTACAAAAATTTTTTAACACCTTGTAATTATAACTTACTGTTATAATTAAAAATCTCTTTTTATTTTTTTAAATATGAAAATTCGTACATACATACAATTTTATAATAAATATTATATATTTATAATCAGCGTAAGCGTTATAATTACCCCAATAATAGTGAGTCGGGAATAAATGGAGTTATTAGGTAATTTTGTGGTATTTTTATAATATACAGAGTAATTTTTTTATCATAACACACTCAATTACTAACAGAATAAATATAATTTAAACATTTTTTTTTTTTGGTTATCTTTAGTTACACATTTTTCTTGAACTATTAACTATGTTATACATTTTAAGTTCATCCCTTATGCCTTGTAAGGGTGTTAACTATGTTTTTTTTAAATGGGAACACATATTTTGAATTTAATAAAATATTAGAATTTTTATTATAACTTTATTTGTTTATTAGATATAAACATTTAAATTTTCAAACTTTTTAGTTAATATACATGTATAATTCACAAAGAATAAAAATACAAGTAGCCAATTGGTTTTTATGACATTTCTGTCACAGACACGGATTGTTTATTATCAATTATGACTATCAATAGATATACTTTTTATATTATCAGTTAGTGTATTTATATACTCACAACAATGTACCCTACTATCATTGATAATAACAATACTGTGTACCTGCGAATATTGATGTCATAAAAAACCAATTCTCGAGATGTGTCCCCACTCATGTCCCAAAATGCATCAATCAATTGGTCGCGGTAATAAAGAAAAATATCACAACAATTTTTTTAAGTATACGACATATAATATGCTTTCTCATTGGTGTACTTTAAAAAAAAATTCAATGATAAACATAACATAGGAATGGTTTAAATGAAAATTTTAATTATTATTTCTTAATGTATCGTTAAGTAAATTCGGTCCAGTAGTAATAGCGAATACTCATATGGACACAATAGAAATGCGACAGAGAAAAACCAATCAGCTATGCATTAAAACAAAACTAATTTAATAATTTAAACCTTTAACAATTTTAGTTGGTTAGAATAAAATTATTAACAAGCCTATAAATGAGAATGTCTCACTCTCCCACCTAGAGTTTTAAGAAAAGTTAATTTAGCATCCCCAAAAGTATTTTATATTCGCTTCTTTAAATATGTCTCCATTATTTTACCTTATCTTTTTTTATTACATGTTTTTTGTATATTAAAACAGTATTGCTATTATTGTAACTATATATAAATGATCATTACATAGTATTTTTTGCACTGTTGAAAGGATATTTATCTCTTGATTAATAAGTGGTTAGATAGTTTTAGATCCATCTGTTAACCCTTATAAGTGTACCAATTTAATTTTTTTAATATACATACATATTTAACTAGCTTATAAAATAGAAATTGATCCGTTATTCCAGAGAATATGGAATTTTTTACCTAGGTACATGAAGTAGCAAGGCATAGAAATACATAATGATATGAATAACATAACCTGCAACTTGCCTCCAGTCTACATATTAAAGTTATTAATAACCTTAAAATACTGGTTTAACATTTTTTATAGACCAATCATTTTCCTATTTAGATCATTTTCTATTGAATAAGCTTATTCTAAAAAAAATAAGAAAATGCAATTTCTTTAATTATAAAATAAAACTCTAGTACTCAGTCAAAAACAATATTTTATTTTTTGTTTATAAATTAAAAAAGTTACTAGTTTTTAATATATAACAAAAACATAATCTTATAGTTTATTTCACGTAAAATTCCATGGTTATAATAGATATTTGTTAGCAATAACATTCTTATTTATATATATATAATTGAGTATTCAATGATAAAATTTTATAAATAATAGAACATGTTTAATATTGTTTTGGTCACCATTTTTAGTAAATTATTCTTCATAGTTTTTATCTTTAATATTATGAAAATTATGTGGCAGTTTTTAAAAATTCCTTTTCACACTTTTGACCAGCAACAAATACAATAAATACTGGCATCCCATTATCAATTGGACATCTAAAAATTGATCAAATAAAATATATTTTTTTTATGTTAAAATTTATTACCAAATATAACAATATATGTACACAATTTATTAATATAATATTCAACAAATATATTGTTATATATTGAATTACCAATATATAACTTTGTTTTTAAACAATGTAAGTTTTACCATTATCGTAAAAATTTTTTATCATTATATAACTCATTCAAGGACATAAAATACAGTGACATAGCCAAATACTACCACAGGGGCTATGCCTCTCAATTGTTAACAATAATTATCTCTAAGAAGAAGAAAAATAAATTTTTAAACATTGATTTTTGTAATTTTTTTTTTTTTTTTGCTATGCCCACCCTCCATTAAGTTATCTTGGCTATACTATTGATTAAATATATATTAAATAAAAAAATTAAATATTTTTTATAATAATATACAGTTAATATTATAAAAAATGCAATAATTCATATTTTTTTAAAGACGCATACCTTAAAGAAGTTAAAGCTTCGGATAAAGTACAATTATGTACATCAATTTTAACAACACTTGTCTTATTATATTTATTTATAACTTCAAAATAAATATTCACTGAATCAGCATTATATTTTCCATCTACATCCCACTCCGGTCGTTCAGAAAAAATTTCTAACAAGTGATTATAAAATCTAAAAACAATAAAGTTATGAATATTTTTTTCAATGATATAATACTAAGTATAATTAAACATTTAAATATTTTCATTATTAATTAATAATTTTAATAATAAATTAGCTAACTGGAAATAGTTTTGTATTTAATATTACTATTTCTAACTTAAAAATCTTAATTTATTTAATCTAGTGCAATTTATTACTAACAATGAATCTTCATGGAATTCTTGTACAATATCAGATGTTTGATATTCAGGATACAGAAATGTTACAGGCCATACAAGACGATTATCAATTAAATGTACTTTTTGTACTAAACCAGGAACTTTCGGATCCAAAACTGATAAGTCTTTAATTGAACTACCTAAAAGATACAATTAAAATATTATTATTAACAATTAACACTGGTTTAGGAAAAATTCTGATGTCTACAATGTTTGGTGAATCCTAAGTTGAATTTTGTTGCAGATTCCCTAAATCTGGCTTCATATTTTTTCCAGATGATTGTAAAATATCTTAAAACTAACAACCACTAAAATACTCATATATAAAGTCCCCTAAAAGTAAATTGCCACATTATTATCTATATGGACATATTTACTAAGTAAATAAATAATAATGATAAATTATAAAATAAAAATTATATTTAGTTAGTAATTTAATTACTAAGCAAATTAATTTTAAAAACTTAGTGTTTATCAGCCACCAGTCATAGACAGGTTTTGTAATATTGTAAATACGTAAGAATGTTATAAGTAATAATACAAATTATTTTATTTTAAACTATAATTTAGTTTGAAATAAATATCTTTATTTCAAAATACTACTTTCATATGTATAATATATTATTATAATTACAAATCAAATAGACAATTTTCATAATTATGTAATGAATGTTTTATAACTGTAATATTATACTATAAGTATTACCAAATACAAAGAGCTTTATTATAAATAAAGTGTTTTAATTTTAAAATATTAGTTACATAAAATTGTTTAGGAGATTTTAAATATGAATAATATGGAATTAATATAAACTTTAGGGGTCTTTGCATAATTGTAATTTAGTGGCATTTAAATTTTATTCCAATTAGTTAGTTTGGACATAATTAAACTAAAATAATTACAAATTAAACAAGTAATACAAATGAAAAATAATTAATTTTTTTGTATAAAACTCATTAGATATGATTTAATGATGTTTAAAAAATTTAGTGAGATTTTGAACTGCTACATCAAATTAATCTTATTTTCGAGTCTTTTAAATGAAAGTTAGATGGTCATTTTCAAGATAAAATTTTTCACTTTTACTCTCAATTATTTTAAATTCTCAAATCCTCATCTTATATAATAAATGATCTCTCATTAACTCAATCTATTTTTCTTTTTTTGTGTGTACCTCTTCTTCTTTTTTCTTACACATATGAATTCTTTACTAATTTACTGCCTCAGTTTTTTCTCTTCTTACACATGATCTAGAATCAATTTATTTTAACAAGTAATTAAATTTTATTCAAAAACACTACATGCATTTATGTAGGAGTTAAAACCAATTTTTTTCACTCTTTTACCTAATTTTTATTTTATAAGCTGAAAAATTAGAAGGACTCCAAATTTGTATAATCATTATTTAAAATATTTTTATTAAATTTTAGCAATTTACTTTATTATATATTTATCTAAAATTATTTTTAAGAAAATTCTTTAAGTAATTACTTTTTCCTCCAAATATCACTAAATTTCTCTTATTAAGTTCATCTAATAGATTTTGTTTTTCAGTATCTTGCTGTTTTTGAATTTTCATTAGTTTTCTTAAATCTTTTTCCATAATTTTCTATGAATACAGTGCATTAATAAAATTATTATATACCAATTTTAAGAAATTTGTTTATAAAAATAGTTAACAAGTATAATTGATTCCTAATTTAATAATTATATTTATAAAAAAAAATATTTACCTTAGATTTTAGTGCTTCTTTTTTAATATTAATCACAGTTATATCATCAGGTACTTGTTTAAGATATTTATCACAATACTCCATACATTCGTCATATTTCTTTAAATAAAGACAACAATTAATTGCTCTCATGATTGTCTTTTCATAATCTGGTTTTAATAATAAAGCTTCTTGTGCTGCTTTTAGACTTGATCTGTAAAGAAGGTACATATTAATTATATACAGAGTGATTTTTTTATCATAACCCACTCAATTACTTACAGAATAATAATAATTAAAAAATTTTTTAGCTTCGATGCGAAGCTGAGAAGGTATTGGTTTTACTAAGATGTGTTTTTTTTTTATTTTTATTTTTTTTTTTGTGTCTGTTACCACTTTTTCTCAGCTCTCACCGAACGGATTTCTTTCAACGATACGTCAAAAGATCACAAAGCGTATCTAGTCGAAGACATTATCCTTCAAAATTGAAAAAATTTCCCTCGTTCCCTATAAATGGGGGAAACCTTCAAAAAAATTACAAATTTAAAAATCGCTAATTTTTTCAATTTTTTTTACTAAAAACTGCCGTAACTTTTTCAAAAATGAACATATCAATAAAAATTTTTTTTTTATAGATGCTTGATGTCTTTACTTATCATTTGGTATATATATTTTTTGTAAATTTGACCTTTTTTCTGCCCACAAGGGGGAATTTAAAATGACAACTTTTTCACAAAAAATTAACTTTTTCAACTTAACTTTTGAAAATGTTCCGGAAGGTCTGACACTTTTATATATATCTTAAATTAAAGCTAATGTAATGTACTTTAATTTGAAAAAAAAAA